AATGTGGGTGGTGCTGTGGCAACTGGGGATGGTGACATCATGATGAGGTTCAGTCCTGCTTTCTTAGCTGTCGAGCTTATGCGAGGTAACGTCTGATGTAACATTAGCAATATATTGGATAGTTGAAAAACAGATTGGTTTTTGCCAACATACTTGGCGACTAGGATGTTTGGTATTTAATGATGAATTCCGTTTCAGTAATTGAGTTACATAGTCAACAAAGTTCATGAAAAAATAACCGAATTTGGCAAATTACAATAAGTTTTGTAACCTCTTACAAGAAAATATTTCACCCAGGGGGAATGTCTCCTAAACAAGCAGCTGAAGAATCCATCACTAGAATATCTACCAAGTATCCCAACTCCCTGCGCGGAGCTGTTATTGCTGCAAGTAAGTCAGCAATATTCTGTATAGTAAAGTGCCTTACATTTAGAGTATCGTACATATTTTAAATCAGTGTGGTAGTATTGGGCAGTTCTGACTTGTATTGTACAGTGTACACGTGTCTATTCAATATTCATGTTACTAATGATTGCGGAGGGATGCTTTTAATCATCCTGCCTATTGTAGAAGATTCGTCCTGTACATTGAGTTATAGTGTACCTTATTTCTTATAGTGTACCTTATCTCTGTATAGTGTACCTTATCTCTGCAGTCTATTTTTTCCCGATCCATGACTCAAAGGTGCCGAAGGCACAAAAGAGTCAAGGACAAGGGTTAGCGATCGAGGTTTTTTTTAAAATATGGTAGCTTTGCGACCGTACCTGCGAGTGTGCGACCGTACGTGCCTGCGAGCACTGTTATCGCCCACGTGACTACCTGCGCAAAGTTATTTTGCGTGATAATCTGAATTATATAATTGTTGGCGCGCAGCCAGCGCTGAACCAACCAAGTACATTATTAATTTCATCATGTACGTATCCCACTAGGCACTAATTGATAGCATATTATTATTATTTTGAGTTAGTATTACTATTTTGCACAGATCCGTGTCAGGTTGCATAAACAATAAACATATGGTAACATAGAAGTATACACGATTTTCAAATTCAATAGAATTATATTAACTGGGCGGCGCTCGGCAGTCGGCATGTCACTTCGCCATATTTGCATGTTTATATAAACAGTAAAGACTGGGCCGTCCCCAGGTTGTATGGAATATGATAAATACGCCATCACGGATCGGGAAATTGAGCGGCCATCCACAAAAGAAGAAAAGAAAAGCGGTCGCATTTCTTGTTATATAACGCCTCGAATTAATTGAAATGTAGCTCGTTTTCCGTATCATCAATGTTATATTGTTATCAAAGCTTAAAGATTTGCATTCTCTTCTGTGTTTCTCGTCTCACTCAACCAAAGGTCCAACTATCAGTCGTTCGGTTTTATTATTTTAGTTGTAGCCAAAGAGACGTGACACAAACGTAACACAAACGTGACACGTGTCTAAAAACTACAATCACAGATAAGTACGGAAAGTACGGAGCAGCATGTTACGGTATGGACAAGTTCCCTTACTCGGTACGAGACAGTCAGGACAGTGCTAAGACCAGGGTTGTGGAGGTGGATTGCCTGAGTTAGCTGAGAAGATGACGATCACGTGTCTTCTGACGACATACTTTGATGGGAAGATTTTAAAATTGAGATTAGGTTTTGATTAATTTGATTGAAAGTTTGAAATATCAAATTAGGGATAATATTTAAAAGACATTTTCGGACAAGCTAGAAGTGAAATAATTTTGGATTTATTAAGGATTTAAGCGGGGACAGATTTTTGTTTGTACATTTTTTACATTGTGAATAAACTGAATATAATAATACTTTTATAAATATAATACAATTATTATCAGCTTTTTTGGATGAACAAATTCACTTCTTTATCGACACAAATTAATGATCTACATTTATTCACAACAGTAGAACTAGTAAGTTTGTAACTCTTCAGCTCCTCAGGTTAGCGCAATGAGGCGATGCACAAAACAGATCCTCTATCTCCACCAACTGAGACCCTCACCATGTCTCCACCACACTCCACACCGCACCCTGCTCGACTTCTCACGACCCGCCAAAGACGCGGGTCTCGCCCCCGCCATCATGTCTGACGACCCCCTCATCTCCAGCAAACTGGCCGCAGTCGACCAAACAAACCCTCTCAGTATCTCCGACACAGCATTATCAACACTTGCTGGCGAGGCTCGATCAGGGGAGGTTTTAGCACAGTTAGCAGCGCTACTCCCCGAGTTAGACACCACAGCCGCTGGTTTAACGGTTGTTACGTGGGCGGTGGCACTGAGAGCCGTGTACTGTCTGTATAGTCGGGTTGTGAATAGTCGGCGGTTGGAGAGGAGTTTACCTCATTCTGAGTGGTATTATAGGAAACATGTTGAGTTGGCTTTTTGGAAGGACAAAAGAAACTACGAGAAAGCAGAGGATGTCCAGTCAGTGGTTGATCAGTACAGTTCAGATCATGGTTTAATTGGGGGGCCACATAAAGTTAGAAAACGGACTGCTTGGACTGGTATAGCCCTCAGCTATGTGAACGTCTGTGGTCTGTATCTCTTCTCACAAGCCTACGCGACCCAACTAGCAGAAGCTCCGTTTCTGTGGGTACCAAACTTACTTCAACCAGACCCACTGTACATACTGCCAGCTGTTAACGTGGTACTTAGTGTCTTTCTATTCAGGCTTATTAGACAGGGTATTATATACCCCGTTAAAATGCCAAAAAGTCGGTCTATAACCCTCAGAGAATCATTTGGTGAAAGTAAAACTATGGCGGTTATGTTAGTCTCCCTTTCAGCTTTAGTGGGAGGTAAATTGTTTTTCCTAGCTTCAGATCAGATTCAGTCTCTTTATTTACTGTTCTGGGCATCTTCCAATATAACTGGGCTCCTGATAACGCTAACTGTAATGAAGAGCAATCTTGCTCGTAAACAGGTTCAGTTGTTGCCTAAACAGGAGTTTACATTGCTTATGGCTAAGAACGATATTGCTCTTGATCCAGAAGTTATTGAAGCTGAGAAGAGGAAAATGAATGAAAGAGAAGAGGAAATTCTTGATAAATCAAAACAGGCTTCTTTAGACTGAAAGTTGAAACGTCACCTGAAACAAGTGTTATCTATAATTGTACTGGTTGTATTCTGTTAGATGAAGTGATGACGTGAAGAACAAGTCAGGAAACGGAAAACTGTTTGAAACTCGAACACTCGGAAAAATATTTGGCATTTTTGATGATTTTTATTTTTGACAATTTGTTTATTCAGTCAGATGCTTTATTTTTAATCAATCAAGTGAACGGTTCAGCTAAATAGTTGAAAATGTTTATGATTTGTGTGTCGTCAATTTTCCATGATAAAACTAAATTATTGTATCACTAATTTTAATGTTTATGTGGTCATACATCAGTATTCCGACGGCAGTACGGCGGCAGTACGGCGGCAGTACGGCGGCAGTCCCGCGGCAGTACGGCGGCAGTACGGCGGCAGTCCCGCGGCAGTACGGCGGCAGTACGGCGGCAGTCCCGCGGCAGTACGGCGGCAGTGCCACGGCAGTATAGTGACAACACTTATATCAGACTTTTGATCCAATTATTTCATGAGTTTGATGATTAGTTCACATTGATTTGTCAATTAAAGAGACGATTTTGATGATTTGTCAATTAATATATTTGGATAAATCAATATTAGTTGTATAAATAAGTTCATACAATATCACTATAACTTTAAATCAGTCACCCTGGAGCAATAAAATAATTTACATTTAGAGAATCTTTCCAGCAGCAATTGCGAGTTGTTTCTTCTCCAGAAAGTCACTCTGCTTGAGGATAGCCCCACATCGGTCAGAGAGAATCTGCTGGTTGATCCTGTCAGTCCGCTCCTCCATGAGAATCTGTTTGATGAGACTGCCGAATCGTGGTCTATCAAGGATAATCAGCTCTGCCATCTTCTTCTTGCGGTAGAAGGATCTTTCAGGGATTCGTTTCTGTTTCAGGAACTTTGAGAGGCTGATGGAGGTATCAGGACGGTTGGCAAAGTCTCTGTGCACTCTGTTGTAGGAGGATAAGGCTTCGCCAGCTACAGAGGAGCGGGAGTAGGTTTCATCAGTGTTCAGACGGCGTCTACTAGGTGGTGGTGAGGAACTGGAAGAGGGTCGGGTAGGTGTAACCACAGGTCTTACTAGGCGAGCATTATCAGTATCTGGTGGAGTAGCTCCTCCTCGTCTAGAAGGTATAACAGCTTGAGTGGCACCAGGAAGGATAGTAGGATCGTTGGTAGGACTAGGAGAGAGGGGACGAGATCTACTAGCCAGTAGTGTCGTTCGATGTAAACTGCAGAGGGATATGTTCAGCTGTAGTTCTCCACAAGGTAGTCGAGTGTAGTCCTCCGTCCTGCAATCTTTACAATCTCTGAGTTTGATTTCTGAAAAGTAGACGGACTAGGGATACTGGGGGATGATGTAGTAGAGCTGAGAGAGGAATCCATTCTTCAAGATTTAGGTGTTCAGATGTTGACGATAATCAGATCAGAGAAATACAAAAGATACCAGAAGTACCTGCAATGAATCTGAATTATTTTAATATTTTATTGCTCCAGGGTGACAGTTACTGATTTAAAATTATAATGATATTGTATGAACTTATTTACAACTTATTGATTTCTCGAAATATATTTTTAATTCACAAATCAATGTGAACGAATCATCAAAATCATGGAATAATTGGATCAAAATTCTGATATAAGTGTTGTCACTATACTGCCGCCGTACTGCCGCGGGACTGCCGCCGTACTGCCGCCGTACTGCCGCCGTACTGCCGCAGGACTGCCGCCGTACTGCCGCAGGACTGCCGCCGTACTGCCGCGGGACTGCCGCCGTACTGCCGCCGTACTGCCGCGGGACTGCCGCCGTACTGCCGCCGTACTGCCGTCGGAATACTGATGTATGACCGTTTAGGTATATAAATAAAATAAACTACGACAATTTACAATTCTCATATGTTTATTATAGTTGAACAGCTTTAATATGGTGTCTGACGACTTGGAAGCAAACGGGTCCCACAAGATACGACAGACTCTCCTGGCGAAGTCTAAACTTAAAGAAGCCAGCAGAATATCTACTCTTCTCTCAGGTTTATGATCTGTGGTATCTAGCTAACTTCTTATCTTGCGTTGATCGTGACAAATATATCTTATACCGTGTCATTATGAATTATGATAGATAACAGAAAACTGTGTTGCATTATAATTTGAAATGGAAGATCTAACGTTTGATAAATTAGTCATAGAATAAATTAGAACCCCTCCATTTTACTATACATAGAAGTGCCAACATGCACTTGACTTTTACCTCCAAATTGCACCAGGTTTTGCGATGGTAGCGATGGTGGAAGTAGACCTGACATCCACCAAGTGTAACCCTGGTGATAACACGTGTGAAGCTGTGGCAGTGCCTCCCTACATCCTCATACTCTTCTCTGTAGTCACTACTGTTCTTATTTCCGTTTATTTGTTTGCTCTGATGGTCGCTACCTGTATTCTACCTAATCTTCAGGTCTGTTTAGGCATGCTGTTTTTGGTTATAAAACGAAAGTTTGATTCGATAATTAATCTTACGGTAGTTCGGGAAGCTGTTATTGAAAGTTACATTTGGATCGGTTTAATTATTTTAGACAGAACTGAGTAATATTCATGATAACCAATAACCATCCAGGAAAACATAATTTGTTTCCGATTAAACCTCACTTTAAAAACCCTCTTCAGACAGTAAAGACTGATGCGAAGTCAGGTTTTGTTGGTGGTGGTATTATCCCAGCTCACGAGCGGTTTCAACACTACATAACAATAGCTTGGGCTTTCTCGACCGTGCTAGGTAGGTTAAGAAAACTTTCAGCCGTGTAAAATCTCAAAATTTGTTAGCTCCCTGATTCCCCACTCGTAGAAACTGTTTTCTAACTGTAGTAATATCACGTGACCAATCACCGCTTGTCATGCGACTAGCTACGTAATAAGTACCGTATTTCTAGAGTCAAGATACTCTGAGTTCCTACTATTATATAATATATCTTTACTGGCCCTGTTCGACATTTGTTGAAATAGGTTGCTCGTGTTAACTTGGATTGTTGCCATCGTAATACAACAGTCTGTTATATTACTTGCAAACATTAGCCACTAACATCATATTACTTGCAAACATTAGCCACTAACATCTGCACCTGTCCGCCAAATCTGAAATCTGACGATGTTTATTGTTTAGAGGATCGTGTTTGTTAAAATGCGCTGGATTGGAATGTAATCAGATGTTTGTGTCCATGCCAACCGAGATCGTAATGATTCAAGATAAAAAAATAGGCTGAACAATTACAATACTAAACTCCTTAAACACCGTGCTTCCGCTTCTGAACTTTATCCCGCTGCAATATGATAAAGTTTGAATAGTATTGCAGAATTATGTACATTTAACTACTTTAACTTTAACTGTCAAATGTCATTGGCTTTCTGAGATATAATCATTATGGTCTTAACTATCAAAGTAAAATATGTATAATATCGATCCGTTTACGAATCGCATGTACATATTTATTATGTTCGTGTCTAGTCACCCTATCAAGATAATTCCTACTCCGCAGGTATCATCATGTTTATGGCGGAGTTTGGACTGATCTGCTGGATAAAGTTCTGGACAGCATCACAGGCTGCAGCATGGGTCGCCACGGCCATACTCATACCTGTCGCTTTCATTTTCCTGGGATTTGCTTTACATTTTCACAGGTGATTAAGTTTCAGAGTTCTTCATTAAAGTTCTTTATTACAGAAATGTTACTTTATTAGGAGTGGGAGAAGTTGTAGCGAAACTGCGAAAGAGAATGTTTATTTTTGTTTCATTCTTGACACGTGACTTGACACGTGACTTAACACGTGACACAGGTCGTTATTGGAGCACAAGATAGAAGAGCACGACAAGGGACTAAGAGAGCTGGACGAGCTGGCACAAAACCTGGACAACTTCTCCGAGGATAGGGACAGTGTGGACAGTACGGCGCTTATGTCCGGTCACAACAGCAAGGGCAATATAAAGCACGTGTGATGATCACGTGTTTGCGCACGTGTTTGTGAAAGCGTGTCACGTGTTTTTCAACGTACAGAACTGAAAACTCCAATATCCAACTCGTTAAGAACGTATAATAAGTTTGTTATTAGTTTCGGATTTGAAATTAGATATTTATTACAATTTCTTTTATTGTGACTCCATATTATATAATTCTTATTTCTGACAGTTATATTATTCTGAATTGAATTAATCTAAATGTTAAGCTGTATAGCTCCGAGTTTGGTGCTTGAAGGGCAAAAAATCCGAGATTTGATGAAGTGGACTGCATTTTATGTTTTGTTGCGCGCTCTTATTTCAATACAAATTAGTTCATTCTTTACACAATCCATCAAAGATATTGATCACTCATTTATCTTTAACATTTCGTTTCAAACTGCAATTGTATAAATACTAATCATCAATGAAAGTGAGCATTGAGCACTAATACTACTACAACTATGTCGGAACTAAGTTCGATCTACGCCAGATAACCCCTCCATATATCCCTGTCCCGCATCAGGGTTCGCAGTTCCTCTTTAGAGTTTGTCCTAACTCCTTCAGTAACATAGACAAGTAGCTTTGTCTTGGTCGGCCTTGCTGTTGTGCAAACAAGGTATTGAACAAGTATTTATCTCTGGGTTTATAATTAGCTGTTAGATATTTATAACACTTTTTAATGAAATTACTTCTTTGAAATCAAAATATGTGTAACTTTGTGTTATCGATATAAATAGAAATTCATCGTGAGGCTAATTTTTCTACCATAGCACCTTAGCGTAGTACAAGCACGTATGTGTTATCTCTGAGTTAGTTATAAATTAATAGCTTTAATTATATATCAATTAATTATATATTGTATTTTACAATCATTGGCGTTCCATTCTTGTTTATTCAGATTTCATAATTTATTTCAATTTTAACTTTTGCTTTTATTTTCGATAGTTGGGAGTGATAGACTCACTATGAAATCTTTCATTGATGTATCCAATACAATGTTTGTATATAGCATGAAATTTAATAATGTCGTATAAAATGAAACACACACATATTACCTACTCAATATGGTTATTGGCTCAGTGAGGCGTTTAGACTGACCCCTTTATTCGCATTAAATACTTCTCAGAATAATTGTACAAATCCAGAAATCAGTTTCCCCAAGGGTAGTACCTGACCATCTTAGTACTGGAGTGTTTATTAATTAAATGTACAATATTACTTTAAGTTGGGAAGAGGTTCTCTTGCTTTTGTTATGAGTTTATAGTTTGGTGCTGGGGTCTTCGATAATGTTCAAGTCAGCTTCTCCATACAGAAGCTGAAGCTGTCCAAAAGTATAACAGTATTTTAATCTCAGGATGGTGAAATAGTTGGTAAATCACGTGATCTCACGTGACGTCACGTTAAAATGGTGTTAAGAGGGTTTCTACTGCTCCAGGCCATCAGTTCTATATTATGTGAAAATGGGTACTTTAACGGCATGTACTTTGGGGCAGCATCAGCTCTCTACATTGGGATGGACCATTTCAAGGTTCCATGTTATAAGTAAGTGATTTAAACCGAGTAAAGTCAGCTCTTGGACTTCTATTAAGAATTAATAAATCTCCATTATTTGATTGTGTTTCAAAACTTGAACCTCGATGAACGAGGAATATGATAAATATAAGTACTGTATTTCCTACATCTTTGGACAAATTAACATATATTTGATAATTAATTAAATAAACTATAATATTGTTAGATACGAATGTTGTACAGTAGGGACAGGGCGAGTACACTGGATACATAACGATGTTACAAAGCTGGATACTCTGCTGGAAAAGAAGTTGTTTGGACAGCACATTGCTACCAAGGTACTGTTTTATCAAGATAAATATCAAATTTACAAAATGACATAGCTATAGCAACGTTTCATTTTATTGGTTATTCTAGCAGTTGGATGATCTTTTTATTATCCATTTTGAATTGCTCACAAAACTTCAATAAGCAGAAGTTTACAATCTATTATTTTACATTTAACATTTAAAATCAACATTTTTCTTGCACTTCATTTTTTTGTTCACGTAAATTTCAGATCCTACACCATCAACTAGGAGCATTCCTGCTAGAACCCAAACCAGAGAAACCGTTTGTAGTTCACATTTCGGGGAAGACAGGAACTGGAAAGAACCACATTTCTAACCTCATAGCACAGGCAAGGTGCTTCTTTTTATAACCTTGTAAGGTTTAAATTGTCGTTGTGTAAGATTTCAACGTTTGTGTGTTTTATGAAGGAGCATTTCGAGCCATCAGTCATAGCATTTGGCAGTGTAATATCGAAAGTAGTCACATGTGGTTACCCTCACCCCAGACTGTATCAAATATTGGACAATTTGTGAATAATATTATTCCTTAAATAGGTACGCAGAGGGTGTGGAAAGTAAATATATATTGAAGATAATTGGAACTCACAAGTATGGTTCACTGGACCACGACACAGCTACAAAATTAATGAAAAAAGAGGTAAATACACAGTGTTCAGTGTGTATCACCGCTCACCAGGGTGTGCACACCAGGGTGTGATTTTATGGCATGATTTTGTTAACAAAATTCCGCTTTAATGCGACTGCTCACATCTTTTGATCTTTTCGTGATAACTATTATGTTTAATAAGGAATTGGCAACTAATTTTCAAAGAGATAAGTATGGCAGGTGGCTGAGCACGTAAGGAAATGTAAACACGCGCTGGTGATCATTGACGAGGCCGAGAAACTTCCAGAAGGAACTCTAAACGCTATCAGCCCCTACTTGGATAAAAACGTGGCTATAGATGGAGTGGATTACAGAAACACCATCTTTGTATTTCTCTCTAACACTGCTGGTAAGTACAGTCTACAGTTTAGAAATCTCTGAATGTTACTTTGAGTCGCCTGATGTGTAGTTTGAGCTGAGTTATTCAAGGCTATTAGTGTTGCTTTAAACAAGTCTACAATTTAAAGTATATCACGAATATGCAGGTAGATATTCTTAGTTGTACACGCCTGTTTCATATTCATGGTGTTCTAAAGCAAGGCTTTGAGTATGGAGAATAAATCTTACTTCCAGTAAAACCTATCTCCGTATGTACCAAGTAAAAGTTACATAAGTCATAAGTAACTCAAGTATCTTATCACGGATCTGAACTGTGTAATGTTTAGGAGTCACGTGGGTGTTAAATAGTGGTCACGTGTCGTTTATCCCAGGTAACGCTATAAGAAATTACACTGAGACGCAGTTGGAGGCAGGTAGACAGAGAGAGGATATAGCTGTGCTGGAAATGGAGAATCTTATACAGGAACACTTGTACAAGTGAGTAGATATTGTATGTAACATTGTATGTAACATTGTATGTAACATTGTATGTAACATTGTATGTAACATTGTATGTAACATTGTATGTAACACTACATTGGGTACAATATTTCAATTTGTATATCTTTGATCTGGATGATGAAACGAATACATGATTAAAACAATCTGGTGGCAAGTTAACAATTAATCTTAAGTTAGCGGATCTTATCCATACAGTTAATAATAGTAAATACCAATCAATAACATGTTTAATTTATGATAATCATACGCACACAGTATAGTGCAAACCGTATTTGACTGAAAGGACGAAAAACAAATTTTAGCAACTATAAATTATGGTTTATATTAAGATTCCAGGAAATCTACCATTTTAAAAAAGGAGAGGCTGGACCTCCGACCTAGATAGTCCACGAGATGATAGCAGGAAGATGCTCTGTCTGCCTCAGGGGTATGGAAACCCTGAAAGGGGTTGCCGGAGATATCTATGTGGAGATGATGGAGGTAGTTGGATGAGTGGTAGTTAAGTTGCGGTGGTTGCGTTGTTTGCAACGGTAGAAGGAAATCGATCAAAAGACTTCATCAAAAACAAGACAGCAAATAATGTCCCAAATGTAATAGTTAGGCGATAGGCCCACTGAGCCAGTCCAAGAACATACGCTTTACTCCTCAAGGCTGGTTTGCTTTCACCTCTTTTCTTTTGAATCGAATGTTTAATCGCAAATGATATCAAAAAGACCCCAACAATAGGATTAACGATTGGTGCAGTAACTATCATAATCCATTCAAAAACTGAAATCTTGCGGTCCACTCCTACATACCAATCTGGGTTTACGGAAAATCTTGATACTCTGCCAAAGTCTGACTTTACTAAGGTGATCTTTGGACTTGTTTTAGGAGACCTGAAGTCTTCGGGAGATGTCGACATTTTGTCTGCTGCAAACAATATGATAAAGAATTGAGAAGAATGTATGTGTTAGACTGAAATCCGAAATGGTATAAACAACAATTACGAGACGAAAGTTTAAAAGTATTTCAGTATTTCACAATAAAGCAGGATATCATGTATTTTGTTTTATATTAAGTGGAGACTCTCATTTCGTCCCCAGTAATCTATCATGATCGAACTACTTAAGAGAGCGAAAAACGAAACCTAAAACAAAGCAGAATATCTAAATAACAATGGACGTGTATTTGTGGAAAAACAGTTTGCTCCTTCATAAAGACAATCACGCGATAATTTAATATATTACTCGTCATTGAATTATCTTTCGAATTCAAGCCTTTCAAATATTTAAAGGCTTGATCCCACGGCCATGTTCAATGTTCATCTGTTTTTCTGTTTTATTTCTCAAATCCTCGTTTCAGTTCGGGTGAGTTGAAACACAGTTCGCTCATATCCCGGTACCAGTTAGATGCCTTTATTCCAATGCTACCTTTAGAAAAGAGACATGTTCAGCAGTGTGCTGAGGAACAGGTATGAACTAATTTGGGTCTGTTAATGTTAAATTACTTCAAATGTTTGTTTGTAAACATATGCCTAATATCTTGGAAATTTGTCGATAAGAAAAGGAAGTGGAGACTTACATTTTCACTAGGGAAAATGTTTCAATTTCCAATACGCCTGTTTTTATACAATGTCTAGAATCAGATTATTGTAAATTACTTTTTTTTGAAAAACCCAACAACTATTTCAGTTGAAACAACGTCGTAACAAGTGTGGTTGTGGAGACGACCCCTCTTGTATCTCCACTCGAGCAAACGAAATAGCCAACCAAATAGACTATTCAGGAAGATTTAGCAGAAGTGGCTGCAAGAAAATATTGACTAAAGCAAACTTGGTGTGCCCGTTAGATCGCAAAAGTGAATTGTGAAAGTTTTGTCAGAGTTTTTATCGTTTGAATTTTCGTTAATACGTTTACAGTAAATCGGGGTTTTACTGTATCAGTATTTAATCTCAATATTTATTTTACATTCAATATGGTTACTGAGGTATTTTATTTCCAAGTTAAAATTCATGACCCATTTATGAGTGCCAAAATTAGAACTTCAGAAGAAAATGAGAGCTGTAGCACCGTGTAAAGGACACTTGTTGAATTAGAGAGTGAAGATATGATATTATACTGGTTTCATTAAACGGTCAAATTGTTAGTTTACTTGCTTTACGCTGCTATAGAATGATATAGCTTTAAACTCTTTGTGAAACTCTAAGCACAGATGCTGCATTCGGGCTACAAATTCAGACTCATAGGTTCTACTTGTAACAGATGATGGTACGCGCTTGGCAAAATTTATGATATCTACGGCGCGAGCACGGCGGTTTATATAATAAATTATATATAATATATATATTATATAATATAACGTCACTTAAATATTAAATCGTAGTATTACATATTATGTATTGTGACGAGTTCAATAATAAATAAAAAGGATTTAAATAGACTTTAAACTTTACTGTATGATACAGGTATTTACATGTTATACATATTGATATTATCAAATAACTTCTGAAAATTATCCCTCGGCCACGTGTTGTTACACGTGGGACATAAACACATAAAATTTCGTACTAAAATATTTGGTACCTGCCAATTGAAAATAATAGTAACAAAATATTGTACTACACATGTCACTTGTCCACTATAATCTACTTTATCGAGGGGCTGATGATTCTAGAGCTGACTGTTTGTACAAAACAATAACAACAAACAAATGTAAGACCATTTTACACAGCATTTTTAGTGTTTTCATACCATGAATTGCCATTTATAATCTGATATTTGATACTTTATCGTTAAGATGCAGTACTCTTCAAATTTTCACGTTTCACAAAACAACCTCAAGCGATGAGAGTGTGACACAGGGGACACGTGCTGAATGAGACAATGTCCGTTTCCTGCGCGCGATGTTTGCACGTGTCACACTGCCAGAAGTGAACGGAGGTGAGTGGAGCCCCTGTCACGATGCACCGTGGATATTTGGTATCGCAGATTCCGCACGTGTTTCCGTAGTCTGTAATGCTGCCCTCGCAGTTCGTACACTCGATCTGTGGAGAATTTAAGTCAGTATCGTCTAGGCTTGAGAAACCCCAAATATATGTACATCGAAAAGTTCAAACTTTCTTCACTAATTCTCATGAACCAAAATATAAACGATAATTATAAAATATGACACTACTTATTAGCCCTTAACAATTACCTTCTGTGTTCTGGAATCCCGGGGAGGGTACCTGGTGAATATCTCCACTGCCAGAGCCTCGTACTCTACTCTAGCTTCCATGCTTTCCACGTTCTCTAGTTTAATAAACGCGTTGCTGCACGTGCCGAACGAACGCGCTATAGTAGCGGTCAAAGCGATGATTGCGTAGATAGTTTCGTTGGGAATAACGTCCTCGTAGTCAACTAGTGCGTGAGCTGTAGGGGAGTGAATAGTGAAGGTGCTGATGAATTAGAATACCGTTAATTAACATTAAATAAATTTACAGTTTACTCGCCCGAGATTTTAGATTTATCCGGTTAAACTGTATTCAATTAAGAACCTCTAAAATATCGCTAAAACACATACAAGTTCTGAGGGCAGCATCAGTGAATCCCTCGTAGAGTTGGCGCTGTGCCAAAAGTAAAAAGTGATACGCTTCAGCCCCTCTCCACGCATTATCGATCAGTCTTGAATCCTGAGAAAATAAACATTGTGAGTTGACTTAATTGACCGTGCTGCGTTTTGTTACTTTGTGAAATCTACTGATATGTAATTTTTATGATTTTCCCAGTTGTAAAAACTCTCGTTAACATGACGAGGACTGGAACAAAGAAAAAAGATCATCATCGTAGAAAAGTAAACTAACCTCTATACTGACAGAGTTTGTGTGAACGAGAGAATCTAGCGCAGATCTATCAGTCATAGTGTGAGTATTGTACTGTTCCACAAGCATCGCTCCTAGAATTAACACATTTGTTAGTGAGAAAGTCATCTGCAAGTGTAGATCACTACTTTTGTTAACGACTTCATTTCCAATTAGCTACTTAATCAAATTCATTGTGATTTTGAGAAAATTTTCGTCACTATAAATTGATAGAATACAAACGGAGCAATATAATAAAAAAACACGATGCTGGATCCTATTACATCACCATTCTATCTAAGAGTTTTAGCTACAAGGGAAGTCAAATGATATCCCCCTCCAGTTTCCAGTCTCCATTTTGGGGGACGGGTTGAACCTGACTTCGCATCAGTCTTTACTGTCTGAAAAGGGTTTTTAAAGTGAGGTTTTATCAGAAACATGTTTTTCTGGATCCTCATGGTTATCATGAATATTACTCAGTTCTGTCTTAAATAATTAAACCGATCCAAATGTAACTTTCAATAACAGCTTCCCGAACTACAGTAAGATTAATTATCGAATCAAACTTTCGTTATAACCAAAAACAGCATGCCTAAACAGACCTGAAGATTAGGTAGAATACAGGTAGCGACCATCAGAGCAAACAAATAAACGGAAATAAGAACAGTAGTGACGACTGAGAAGAGTATGAGGATGTAGGGAGGCACTGCCACAGCTTCACACGTGTTATCACCAGGGTTACACTTGGTGGATGTCAGGTCTACTTCCACCATCGCTACCATCGCAAAACCTGGTGCAATTTGGAGGTAAAAGTCAAGTGCATGTTGGCACTTCTATAATAAAATGGAGGGGTTCTAATTTATTATATGACTAATTTATCAAACGTTGGATCTTCCATTTCATTAACAATTATAATGCAACACAGTTTTCTGTTATCTATCATAATGACACGGAATAAGATATGCTTGTCACGACTCATGATCAATGCAAGATAAGAAGTTAGCTAGATACCACAGATTACATACCGGAGAGAAGAGTAGATATTCTGCTGGCTTCTTTAAGTTTAGACTTTGCCAGGAGAGTCTGTCGTATCTTGTGGGATCCGTTTGCTTCCAAATCGTCAGACACCATATTAAAGCTGTATAACTATAAACATATGATGAGAATTATAAATTGTCGTAGTTCATTTTATTTATACATATAAAGATTAAAATTAGTTTTATCATGGTAAATTGACGACACACAAATCAAAAATTTTACATATTCAACTATTTAGCTGAACCATTCACTTGTTTGATTTAGAATTAAGCATCTGACCGAATAAACAAATTGTAAAAATAAAATCATCAAAAATGCCAAATATTTTTCCGAGTGTTCGGGTTTCAAACAGTTTTCCGTTTCCTGACTTGTTCTTCATGTCATCACTTCACCGAATACAGCCAGTACAATTATAGATAACACGTGTTTCAGGTGACGTTTCAACTTTCAGTCTAAAGAAGCCTGTTTTGATTTATCAAGAATTTCCTCTTCTCTTTCATTCATTTTCCTCTTCTCAGCTTCAATAACTTCTGGATCAAGAGCAATATCGTTCTTAGCCATTAGCAACGCAAACTCCTGTTTAGGCAACAACTGAACCTGTTTACGAGCAAGATTGCTCTTCATTACAGTTAACGTTATCAGGAGTCCAGTCATATTGGAAGATGCCCAGAACAGTAAATAAAGAGACTGAATCTGATCTGAAGCTAGGAAAAACAATTTACCTCCCACTAAAGCTGAAAGGGAGACTAACATAACCGCCATAGTTTTACTTTCACCAAATGATTCTCTGAGGGTTATTGACCGACTTTTTGGCATTTTAACGGGGTATATAATGCCCTGTCTAATAAGTCTGAATAGAAAAACACTAAGTACCACGTTAACAGCAGGCAGTATGTACAGTGGGTCGGGTTGAAGTAAGTTTGGTACCCACAGAAACGGAGCTTCTGCTAGTTGGGTTGCGTAGGCTTGTGAGAAGAGATAGAGACCACATACGTTCACATAGCTGAGGGCTATACCAGTCCAAGCAGTTCGCTTTCTAACTTTATGTGGCCCCCCAATTAAACCATGATCTGAACTGTACTGATCAACCACTGACTGTACATCCTCTGCTTTCTCGTAGTTTCTTTTGTCCTTCCAAAAAGCCAGCTCCACATGTTTCCTATAATACCACTCAGAATGAGGTAAACTCCTCTCCAACCGCCGACTATTCACAACCCGACTATACAGACAGTACACGGCTCTCAGTGCCACGGCCCACGTGACAACCGTTAAACCAGCGGCTGTGGTGTCTAACTCGGGGAGTAGCGCCGCTAACTGTACTAAAACCTCCCCTGATCGAGCCTCGCCAGCAAGTGTTGATAATGCTGTGTCGGAGATACTGAGAGGGTTTGTTTGGTCGACTGCGGCCAGTTTGCTGGAGATGAGAGGGTCGTCAGACATGATGGCGGGGGCGAGACCCGCGTCTTTAGCGGGTCGTGAGAAGTCGAGGAGGGTGCGGTGTGGAGTGTGGTGGAGACATGGTGAGGGTCTCAGTTGGTGGAGATAGAGGATCTGTTTTGTGCATCGCCTCATTGCGCTAACCTGAGGAGTTGAAGAGTTACAAACTTACTAGTTCTACTGTTGTAAATAAATGTAGATCATTAATTTGTGTCGATAAAGAAGTGAATTTGTTCATCCAAAAAAGCTGATAATAATTGTATTATATTTATAAAAGTATTATTATATTCACAATGTAAAAAATGTACAAACAAAAATCTGCCCCCGCTTAAATCCTCAATAAATCCAAACTTATTTCACTTCTAGCTTGTCCGAAAATGTCTTTAAAATATTATCCCTAATTTAATATTTCAAACTTTCAATCAAATTAATCAAAACTTAATCTCAATTTTAAAATCTTCCCATCAAAGTATGCCGCCAGAAGACACGTGATCGTCATCTTCTCAGCTAACTCAGGCAGTCCACTTCCACAACCCTAGTCTTAGCACTGTCCTGACTGTCTCGTACCGAGTAAGGGAACTTGTCCATACCGTAACATGCTGCTCCGTACTTTCCGTCCTTATCTGTGATTGTAGTGGGTGTAGTTTTTAGACACGTGTCACGTTTGTGAGGCGTTATATAAAAATAGACTGCAGAGATAAGGTACACTTTAACTCAATGTACAGGACGAATCTTCTACAATAGGCAGGATGATTGAAAGCACCCTCCGCAATCATTAGTAACATGAATATTGAATAGACATGTGTACAAGTCAGAACTGCCCAATACTACCACACAGATTTAAAATATGTACGATACTCTAAATTTAAGGCACTTTACTATACAGAATATTGCTGACTTACTTGCAGCAATAACAGCTCCACTCAGGGAGTTGGGATACTTGGTAGATATTCTAGTGATGGATTCTTCAGCTGCTCGTTTAGGAGACATTCCCCCTGGGTGAAATATTTTCTTGTAAGAGGTTACAAAACTTATTGTAATTTGCCAAATTCGGTAATTTTTGCATGAACTTTGTTGACTATTTAACTCAATTACTGAAACGGAATTCATCATTAAATACCAAACATCCTAGTCGCCAAATATGTTGGCAAAAACCAATCTGTTTTTCAACTATGCAATATATTGCTAATGTTACATGAGACGTTACCTCGCATAAGTTCGACAGCTAAGAAAGCGGGACTGAACCTCATCATGATGTCGCCATCTCCAGTAGCCACAGCACCACCCACACTCTCATCCACAAACGCACCACACCCCGGCAATGCTGAGTCACTAGACCTTCCTGGAGGGGGAGATATCATTTAACAATATTCAAATAACCCAGTGCAAAAGTAAAAGTGCATTACACGATAACAATAACTTTAATTTTGGATTATTCAGACGATATTGAACTCCGTGTAGTGTTTACCGGGTATCTTATGGTTCATCCCGTTAGTAGTGGTGCCCGCTGCCATCTTGCCATGTCTGTCAAGAGTTATTATTCCTATTGTATCGTGATTTCTTCTAATGGATAAATTGTTGTTTACTCCTATGACTGTATATAATAGTGTATATTGCAATTGTAGTGTATTCATTGTCTTTAAATCTTATTATGAGGATAATGATTTTGAATTTGAAAATAGAATAATTTTTTCATCATCATGAGCCCTATTGATGAAAACGATTAAAATCCAAGAGCTGAAGGTACCCACATGACAGCTCTGGTATTCACCTATTTATTGATGATTTTCTGTAATGGTGATCGTCTGTTAGAAGATTAGGAATATAGGGTCCACACTTAGTGGTAGAGTTTACCATGTTCTTCCAATAATTGGGCTGACAGTTTGCTTTTTTCCAGTCCTAAATGTTTTCATTTGTAATTACAGCTGTTAAAGACACTGCCCAATGCAACAGTTATAAACTTAGAGTTGATATTATCCACGGCAGACAGGGTAGTGTATACAATAAAAATACTAACACTTTAATATCGATAATAACATGGTTACCTCCCAAATGTTGATGGATCTTTGAGATGAAAGGGGTTGACTCTTGAAACCCAATGAAAGAGCAAAATTGGTGGCATTTTCTCCAACAAGTACAGAATGATAGGTGTGCTCCAAAACAGCCCTTGCAACTTTACTTGCCTCTCGGACAGACTTCAACTACAAAGATAACAGTACAGTTGAAAATAATTTACTGATGACAGCATCACTTTGAATTTAACAAGTTGATCTCAAAATGTTCACAGATTGGCTCCGTTTTAAAATGAAATACTAGAACTTGCATGACTTTAGCAGCAAAGTGACACAAGACTTACATTATCTTGTGTACCTGGTACATTATGGTACCTGGATGACAGCCCCAGTGTCCTGTCTTCCTCCTTCCATAACAAGAGCATCTAATGTGGTGTGACCATCTTCATCAGGTGATCCTCCCCATCCTACAGTTCCGTCACACTGGTCTGTCTCACATTGAGAGCATCCTGCAACTACCTTGGAGAAGTGCCTTCAGATAAAGCAATAATAAAATGATTACAAGATTTGTACAGCATAGCCAGTAACATGTTATTTATTTGTATACAAAATTGTATAAATCAGGATTTTTTGAGACTTGAAGCAGGGCAATTTAATGGATAGTTTTATATGCCATAAGTTAGTTAACAGATGGCTTGATGCAACAGGGAAATAATTCAATTTAGATAAATTTGCATTCATTTGATGGTAAACAGATAATCTGTGGTGTAATTTTAGCACATTTAGTCAATGAAACTAATAAATCAATGAAACTAATAAAGTAGTAGTAGTACTTACAGCATCAAGTGAGGAACCACCCTGAAGAAGTGATTCAAAGCCAGCATCAGTGGCTGCAGTAAAAGGCCATGTGTTAATCACAAACATAAGTTCTCTGGTCCAAACACCTGAAAAATGTAGCTCTCATCAACTTTTAACCACTCTGTACGACAAAAAAGTGATATAGTACACTTAAAAATTACTGGAGAGCATTTAGAAATCGAAAGAAAACGAATTCATTTAAAAAATATAATGATTTACCATTTATAAGGATGCCAACCATCCATAGCATTAGAAAGTAGGGTCTCTCAATCATTTCTACAGTGCATAGATTGTCAGATTCAGCTTATTAGGTAAAAAAGCTTAATAAAACAAAGATTTTATTTTACACCCACAATCAATACAATAGATGTAGTGAGTTCAAATATTCATATGTAATATCTGAGTGACTGCATTTAAATAATTTAAGAAAATGACTTTAAAAAATGGGACCCCCAACCCATGTAGCTGAGACACCTCACAGCAAGTTGACCAAAGTGGCTCTTGCTTGTGAAAGGTGTATCAACTACCCGCCGAGGCGGTGGGTTGGGAGTCCCCCCTGGGATCATTTCGTCCGTAAAATTTTACACAATATAGAAGCTACAAAAAATTATCTATAAAATTTAACTCACTTTTAAAACTTGACGATAATAGAGATAAATATTTGGGTACAAAGATCAAAAGAAACAAAATGCAGTGACTAAAGTTGCTTGTGCCCAGATAAGATTAAGCTTTCTATTTTCTGACGATGACTTGGACGGTTCCATCTTCGGCTCGAAGATCATATATGATCATACATGGACTTTGAATTTAAAGTCTTAAATAACTCAGCCACCGAAATGTCAAAGTTGCGTAGTGACACAATTGATATGCCCACAATAAAAAGCATACAGTTGTGACCTGAAATTTGAAAATTGAAAATTTACATATACTTTTGTTGTTTTCAACACACTAATGATGTACTCAAAGGTATCTTTACAAAATTTCACAATTGTACAAGGGCATTATCATTTTATCAAACACATGACTGTCTGAAATTAAAATTATCTGTAAATATCCTCTGATCCAGGATTTTATGTTTGCAATAATCAACGTAGGGATATTTTGTCGAGGTGGAACATGGAACATTTACACCAATAGTCCTATCAACAACAGGTGGAATGGGAAGAGAAGCAAATACGTTCTTCAAAAAGTTAGCTGATAGAATGATCAACATTTGATAACATCAATATTTCTTTTATTTAAAAGGCAAACATTTATTTACAATGTCAATCTTTTCTAATTTGTGTAGCTTTATTGCAATATTGTATTACTTTGTGCGCGAGCGCAAATGTTACCTAGCTTGCGCTTGCTAGTCTATAATTTCTTAACGGGTGATACTTTTAAAATGTTTGTTAGAAGACCGTCAAGTGTCGACAAATCCAACCCAGCGCGCGCGTCTAGTAGTAGTTTATAAAAAAACACGGATAGTTTTAAATTTATTTCTATTTGTCGTATAATCATAAACAAGTTAATCCTGTTTCAAGAATGCGCGGCTTTGGCGGCCAGTTAAATTGACTTAAACATTAAATTGAATTTTAAATAGAAATGTGAATATATTAAATTGTTTTTAAAAATTTAAATTTGTTTCACTAAAATTTGTTTCACTTAAAATTTAAAACTTTCAAAACGGAGGCTTATAAATATTATTATATTATGATTGTAAAATAAAGGATAAAATTTTAAATTTGTTTCACTAAAAAAAATTTGTTTTACTATAAACATATAACAAGTTTATTATTTTGTGCTCGCTTTTAGCCTGGCCTCTCACTCATGTAATATGTATGTAATCCCTCAAAAAGAGCGCAGCGCATAAAAAGAAGTAGGCTAGGTACAAAAACGCATGGTTACGCAAATCAGACCTAAAATTTAAATATATGTGTTTTATATAAACAAGCAAAATTAAAATTTGGATTTTTACCAAAATTTTTAAACTTGTTTATATTTTTAAAAATTTAAAAATTTAATAGTCAATAGTAAATTCAAAAATAATAATATATATATTTTGCGCGCGCATCAATTTTTATTTAACTTTAAAGCTTAAAACATAATGCATTTTGTAATTTGTTGTATCACGTTGCGACCCCCATGGTTGTTTCACTGCGCGGTGGGTCATACGACGTATGACAAGTTATTTGTATGTGCGTTACTTACTTTGTTACTTTGTAGGGTTTCATAGAATCCTCTATCGGGCCATCGAAAAAGTCGACCCCCCGGACAGTGTAGAAACTGTTTTATCACCACTCCAATCAAGCAAGGAGTTTCCATTCCGACGGCTGTATCCTGGAGCTGGAGGCTCGTCCGGAAATGACTTCACAAAGTTCGTTAAAGCTGCTTTGAATTGCATAGGATCCTCGATGGTGTGCATATGTGTTGGGATTACGCTCCTACTAAATCGCTCGCCTAAAATCGCTCGCCCAAAATTCGCCCAAAATTTTTGTGAAAAGGCCCTTCGGGGTTATGGTTAGGGTAAGGGTTGGGATTACAGTTTATGTAAATCCTTTTTTGCTCTAACCAGAGCCCTCTCGCTTGCAGTATTCTACTTGTGAAACAAGCGTGTCACGCAGCATGCGTAGACACATGGCTATGTGAAACCGTTTTGTACGGCTGCAAAACCATAAAAAACCAAAGTCACGTGAAATTTTTGGGCGAGCGAATTAGTAAAAGCCGTTTATAACAGTGCAACTAAAAATAAAATGTTGACTAAATCATATAATGTAAGGATGATGATTAATCACTCTACACTCGACTGTCACGTGACTTTTTTAACCCATTCTTTGCTCTAACCAGAGCCCTCTCGCTTGCAGTAGCGCGCGACCGCCGGAGGCAGTACGCGTAGGCACATGCAACATGGCTATGTGAAACCCATTCCCTAGCTGGTTCCGAACGAGTTTTCGGTACCCTAACCCTCTAATCTGATCCTAACCCTAACCCAATCCTTAACAAAAACATATGCTGAAACCCTAATCCTAACGAGAAATTAGACTAAATTCCTTATACGGTCATATCACGTGATCGATACAGTTTTTCGCCAATATCTCGTCAGGAGAGCATTTTAACCCTATGTTATTGGGGGTGATTCGGAATCAGCGTCCGAAAATACATCAATTGAAGTTGGTTACAACCATCGGGGGCCCTTTTAGAACAATCTCGAAAGTTGACTGTAGAGTGATTTAGCACGCTCGATAATGTAAATAAACATAAATATATTCGCGCCGCGCATATGTTCACTGATATTAGATTTAGACCGCAATCATGTCCGTAATATTTTGACTACAAGTCCTTACACGTTTTATTGTGTATATCATAGAAACAAATGATGTTTTAATATTACTAGATTGCTGATTTGAGTTTTAATGCAACGCTGTTTTACTAAATATTGATCTATCATCTATTTAAGTCTTGCAATCAGTATCAATGCGTATAGTTTTATTTCATCTTTCCCTTCAGTATATAATAATAATTTACCACATATATATAATATACAACAACCACATAATACAACAACATTTTTATCATAACGAGAAGATTTATCGGATTTGAATTTTGTTTTCCTATTCGACGGGTCGTGATGTAACATTGTAAATCTAATCTCAAGTCCCCCCTTAATGTAACTGCCATTCGAAATATCCAATTCAATGATACCATATTTTATGTCTTTGCTGAATTTGATCCTTTCATCATGCAAAATAGACTCTGGACTTTGGCCTTCTATCTTTGAAAGGGCGGTCAAATGACCGCCAGAAATTAGTTAGCAGCTGACATGATCAGTCAGGAATCCCAGAAAAAATGAATTCATGCTGTTGGCCTTGTACCAGTAAAATTCGGCTCCTTCAGTTCTACAAATGCATATCTAACGGAGGAGTCCTCATTTATCTGTTCAAGTCGATTCCTCTATTTAGTTTTATTATAATTCATTCATAAGCTTGTGGGTACTATACCTCACAGAGTCCCCTTATTACACACAGATGATTATTTGTATCTAACATATAACAATCTTGAACATACGATAAACTCTGAAATGTGTTTGTTGATATGGACTCTTAATGAAACGCAGTTCAAATGGTGTCAATCAAGCTGAAATAAATAGATATCAATTATCAATTACAAACAAGTAAATAGCAATCATGGAATTAAATATCCTAATGAGAGAATATGTATAGAACAACATAAAAGGTGTCTATAGATAAAAACGAAAGGTAAGTTCTGAATCTTCAGGTGTCCAGATATCACATCTCACATGCTTACAGGAAACAAGTGCAAGTGATTAGCTATAATAATCTAAGATAACCTATAATTGACATGAGATATAAAAAAATGATCAGAGATTATAAATTTATTCAGTCTTTATTTGCCAACAAAGACACTGCTTGGGGTAAAACAGAGATATAGAGAGAGATAGAGAGTGCTTGAGATAGAGAGTGCTTGGTTTGCCTGACTGACAAGCTTATCTATGATTACCACGCTTGAATTTAGGTAAACAACATACAACTCATTTCCAAGTTACGCTGAGCGCAACCGCCGAATGACTCAGCAATATGGAAACGCGCACGCATAGCATTGCGCGCCGATGCTGTGCGCGCGCGCGCGTTGTCGGCCGAAACTTGGGAAGTTCCCGCTCTAATATTCAGACGACAGTGATGACTCATTAAGAGCACTAATTTCGACCACTTTCCTGGTCGAACCATACCAAATCAAACTAATTGACCCACGTGTATAGCCAATGTCCTGGCGGTGCTGAGCCGATGTAAAACTCTTCTGTAAACTCTTTTGTCTCTTGTAACTTGTTTATATTTTATATTTTAGTTATACTGTGTACTGTGTACAATAGTTATAGCGTATAGTGTGTAGTGTGTAGTGGTTATTTTGTTGTAACGTGTCATTTTATTATTTGCTACCAACGTCAGCCTTGACTTACCATTTATTGTAATTGGTACAGCATATATCAAAATTAAAACACTGTTTTCGATCTGACGGGTGATGGGCTCTCTCTGATGGGACATATAGTTCTAGGGGGTACCCGGGGTATGAGTTAACGAATAGTGTTCGTGTCCTTCCACAATCCCCTCTCATTGTGTTTTTGACGGAGGAGGAGCCTAGTTCATCCGTCTGCATCGCTTAATCGAGTTAAAAATTTAGCCAATAACAAACTAAATTACATGTTATACTGATATCAGATGTAGAGTTTATAACATACAAATTCTAAATTTTTGACGGCTGACGATGGTAAGTCGCTACGTTTAACTCGGGACTT